GAGTTGATTTTTGTGACTGGAGTGAGGCAGTGATCTAGTTTCATTTTTTTTGCATGTAGCTTCCCAGTTTTCCCAGCACCATTTGCTGAACAAACTTTCTTTGTTCTATTGTATCTTTGCTCCTTTGTCAAAAAGTTTTGTTTTAAAGATTTATTTATTGATGCTTACAGAAGTAGGGTACAGGTCAGAGGTGTGGTGGGATGAGAGGATTCACCTGCGACAGAGTGGGGAACAGAACAGGTAGATGTACTGAAACACACTGCTGAGGGGAACAGCAGGTGTGTCAGGAGAGGTCTACCACACCATGTGGGTCAGCTCCCTGGCTGGGGTTTGAACTTGTGCTGCAGTGGCTTCTGAGAGCTTTATAGTGTGGAGCTTTAACTCATTGTGTCACCAGGGAGAGCCCGTATAGTGCTGTGTTTTAACCCCTTGGTCCACCAGGGAGGGTCCCAGAGCAGACTTTTAATAGTCATGTTATTTGAAGAGACCCCTAGGTGAGAACCACATTCCGACGACTGACTCAGGATGTCATTCAGGTTGCATTCTGTGTGAATGAATGACATGCTGCATGTGCATCCTGACCCTGAGATTTAAATTTCCTGGGGCTCGGTTTACTTCTCCCCCTTCTCAGTGAAACTACATGCCCCATAGGGTTATGACAGGTCAAATGAGATAACGAGTATAACATTCCTTTAAAGCCTATAAAAGTAGATAAATACATGGGCTAGTAATACTGTTTTCCTTCCCACCCTTTCCCCCTTTTTTGGTCTTCCTTCTTTTGTCAAGGTAATACGTGGTGATCTCTGCTGGGGCACTCTGGATGATTCACTGAAAAATAAATCAGCTAATATTACATGTCTTAATATATTAATATTAATATTACATGTCTTAAAAAATCCAAAATCTAGAAATAAGGTAAAAGAGATACAAGACTTTACTGTCATGCTAGACTTTATAGTTCATCTGCTTTCTAAGGAAGTGTAGCTCTGCTTAACCAATGACTTACTCTTGATTAGGACAAAGTCATTTCACGATACTTTAAAGGTTAATGGATAGACAACTAAAAAGGTACAGTGATTTTCTTGTGACCAACAGACACCACCACCCCAATGCTTGTTTGAATTTCCTTGGGAAATTGTGCTAATCTAAGACACATGTGATACTAACAGCATCAGCACCACCTGGAAATACATGTGAAATGCTGATTCTCAGGCTTCACTTTGGACCTATGAAATGGCAAACTCTGAGACTAGAGCCCAGCATCCTAAGTCTCCTCTATTGTATGCTTAAGTATGAGAACCATGGCTATAGGGCATGAAATAAATGTTCTCATCGGCACACCTTATCTCACCATTTCCTTTTTTTCTTCTGACTATAAAAATGCGATTTTTCAAATGTGATCTTTTGATCTATCTATGTCTTTCTTCTGGTTCCCTTATTAATGAGTTAAGTGAAACTTTGATGTATGTTCACTCTTTATTTTACTTTTACAAATTCGGATATAATTGATGTGTAACAGTATAGTTTTTACATGTACATGATTTGATATATGTATATATTGCCAAATGATCACCACAGTAAGTTTAACAACCATCACCACACATAATAACAATCTTTTCTTGTGATGAGAACTTTTAAGATCTACTCTCTTAGCAATTTTCAAATATACAACTCAGAATTGTTATCTATAATCACCATGCTGTACCTTTGACCAACTTCACCCATTTAGTTCTATCTTTTTATTGTACATACATGTGAATTTATATGGTTTTTGTTTTTGTGACTTATCTCACTTTGGCATAACACCCTCAAGTTCCATCCAGGTGTTGCAAATGGCAAGATTGTCTTCTTCAGTCATAAAGGCTGAAAAATATTATCTTTCATCTTCTTTATTCATTTATCCAAGGGTGGACAGCTAGGTTGTTTCTATATTTTGGCCTTCATAAATAATGCTGCCGTGAAAATGCGGGAGCATATATATCTTTTCAAGTTAGTGTTTTTGGCTTAGGAGGAAAAACCCAAGAAGGTGGCATTGCTGGATCATAAGGTAGTCTTTATTTTTAAAAGAACCTCCGTGCTGTTTTCCATAGTGGCTGCACTAGTTTACATTCCCACCAACAGTGTGCAGGCAGTGGAGTTCCAGGACTTGAAACTGGACTTTAGTGTCCAGGATAAGGCTACAAAAATGGGAGAGCCCTGTGGAGTCCCCAGATGAGGGGCTTCTGTGGCCAGGAACTGATGGCTGTGGACATACTGTAAAGTGACCTCACCCTGCTCTAGCAGACAAGAGAGTAAACAGATTTAAGTCTATGAAGTAGCTATGCAAAATCTGCCATCAGCAGGTAATGTCAGCCTTTCAATCTGCACTCATGACCAAAGGGTCGGATAACAAAGATTTAGATAATGAATACCCGGTCTTTACATCTCCACAGTTCAGCAGGCTTTGGAAGAGACGAGTTTAAACCCAAAATTGCCTTCCTCTGTGCACAGACAACATCAACACATCTTTAAGTCAAAACTCAGGGCCACAAATCCTCCCCACCCCACCCCCCAAAAGAATAATGACATCCTCAGTGTCAGTGACGCGCTGTTCCCACCTCTATAAGCTAAATTCAAACTTGGGATTTGGGGGGACAATCCGCACAGGATAAAATCTATTGGCCTGCTGCCCAGGTTCGAGTCTTCACTTTGCTATTAGCTAATAAACTCTGTCTCTGATTGCAGTTAGCTCAGGGAACCAGGGAAGTGCCGCCTCCAGCGCAAAAGCACCCGCTGTGGTTTCCAGACCAAGGCTGAGCCAGCCAGCCAGCCGTCATTAACACAGCTCAGACTCTGGCTCCGCCTCTTTGCGGCAAAACTCAGACCGGCGCAAACCAGTTCAGTGTCCTGACGGACATCCGCATCACCCAATCCTCCGCAATTCCCGGCCTCCCCAGCTGTGGGTGGAAGCCAGGGAAGGTCTAGTGACCCGCGTCCCCGGAGGCGGCTCGAAATCAGCCAGAGAGCTAATGACCAGGCTGCTGGGGCCCGAAGGCCGGCCAGCGACCAATGGTGAGGGCGAGGGGGCGGGCCTTCATTAGCCCCGCCCCCTCAGGGCCGTCGCCGCCGGGGAGCAGGAGGGAGGGGCGAAGACGCGGGGCGGCGGCGGAACCCGGGAGCTGCGGAACGCGCCTGCGCAGTGAGGCGCCTGCAGAAGGCCTGGGGTGACGTCGCGCCCGCCCGCGGCCGCGGCGCCCCACCCCACGCCGCCCTCAGCAAACTGAGCCTGCACAGCGCGGGCGGCGCCTGTCTTGCTGCCGCCTCCACCTTCGCGTCCCTGCAACACCATCTTTGTCTGCCGGCCCCGCGGCCGCGCAAGCTTTGTCGCCGGCGCCCGTCCCCCGGCCGGCCGGGGCGCGCAGCCGAGAAGCCCACACGCCGCGCTGGCGTCGTCCTCGTCCCCCTCGCCGCCCCCGCCGCCCTCCGCGCGCGGCCGGGCCTTGCCCCCCATGGTCTCCCGCCCCGAGCCGGAGAGCGAGGCCATGGACGCGGAGCTGGTGGTGACGCCGCCGGGCTGTTCGCATCTGAGCAGCTTCAAGGTGGACAACTGGAAGCAGAACCTGCGTGCCATCTACCAGTGCTTCGTGTGGAGCGGCACGGCGGAGGCCCGCAAGCGCAAGGTGCGAGCCTCCCCTCCCTTCCCCGAAATACTGAGGGGGGCGAAGGCCGGAGGAGACCGACCCCCCCCTCAGCCCTGGTCGGCGCCTGGTAGTGGAGGATGCGGGAGGAGGGAGCATTGCCAGGCTCTGCGGACTCTTCCTGGGCTTCTCTTGCCGGCGGGGTGGGGCGGGGGGCGCGCTTGGACCCTCTGTCCTGGTCCCCTCCCCCACCCTTTTCCTTTCCTCCCCCGCCTCCACCCACCCCTCCTCCCCCCGCTCCTCCTCCCCCCCACCTCCTTCCTCAGTCTCTCCTCTGAGCTGCGTGGAAGCGGACGGAGTGGGGGCGGGGTTTCGGGGTGGGCACTTGAGAATTGGGCCGGGGACGGCTTTGTCTTGCAGGGTTGCTTGGAACCCTGGTGCTGCGAATGGAGTTCCCGACGTTCCAGCGCTAGGCCTGTCCTAGGAACCCTCTGGGATGCGAGGAGTGGGGAGTCGGGTTGGGTGCGCTGAGCAAAAAGGAAGGCAAAAAACTAATAAAGACAAAGGCTTATCCGGGGCTTGACCAGTGGTCTGCTGTGGGTCAGTCCCCTTGCCACCATCTTGAATGTGCGTTTAGCTTGGAGAATCTGGGCCAAGGAAACGGTGCGTTTCTGCACATGGGGGTTATTAGGGCGTAACTACAGTGCTTGGGCAGATTACTCCACCGGATCCAAAGTCTTAGGGAGCAAATTTAGGGAGATGGACTCCCCCCCACCGCATCCTCTCTTAGGCTTGTCCCTGGAGGGAATTGATGTGTGGGGACTGCATTTAGATGTAGCGAACCATCCCGCTGTTCAGAGTCAAAACTTAAGAGGAAGCTTTATCGTTATCAGCGTTTTTTGAAAGAATCACTTGGAGCTGCCCGGAGTGGATTAAAAAAAAATCAGGTGGGGAAGGTGAGAATTGGCTTGTGTTCCGCCACTAAGAAAGATCATGATCCAGTGAGGATTGTGACAAGTTTGAGGGCTGTGTTATTTTTCAGATACACAACCCATGTAAAAGAATTTGGAAATCAGAAAATACCTCTATAGGCTTACCAAAAAAATAACCCTAGTTTTTACGGTGTAAGTGATTTTGCAATTTACAAGCCTGACTTTGGGAGTTTAGTTAACTCTCATCTTGAGTAGCACTTTTTTGGGATAATAAATATCTGCTAAGATTATAGGGGATGTTAGGGATTCGTTTTCTTTTTATATCAGTGATGGTGTTGGGAAGAATTGTCCTTGGGCATGAACTAAAATCAGAGATGAAGCATTTCTTTTAGAGTCAGAGTGAGATTCTTGCCAGTGGAACTGTGCGCCCTAAAAAATTTTGACGTTGGGTAGGCAGTAGTCTTGTTATTCCTATACATTCTTAGTTTCTTTTTTAAGTTTATGTGAGGTGAGATTCACCTCTACGTTGGATTAAATAGGGAGTTTACTCTTTTCCCTTCTACCCTCCCCTGTAATTTTTAACAAAGCTGGAGTCAAGCTTAACATCATTAACTCTGCCTAATTTCCTAAAGGGAGGGAATTTGTTGGGGAGGGGCTACCTGTGGTTGGATTAATGTTAATGTCACTTGCTCAGTTTGAATGCTGTTGAACTACATCTGTATTTTCAGGTGTAGGAAATAGATGGTGATACCTGTTTCTTTCAAAATTAAAGTTTGCCAGTACTGCAGTACCTTTTGGTAGGGTACCAACAATTTCCTTCATGAACTTTTACTCTAAATTTTTGAATAGTTTGCTGGTATCAGTTTGGGTTCTTTGTTACTGTGTCTCTAGCACACTCTAGTGGCCAGCCAAGAAAGAGTATGAGAAATAATTTAAGCGTGCTGATTAAAAGTACTTCCTTGGTTTTAGCAATAAGAAGCCCTTATAATAATACTTCAACTTAAGATACAGTTACAGCTTTGTAAAACAAAGGTGCTTTGTGGGGTTGCTACAAAATGTTACTGTAAAAATAAATTCCTGGATGAGCAAGGGTTTTCTTACTAAGTAGAAGTGGATTATAGGTTTTTAATCCAAAATTTGGTTATCTTACCACTTTAGGATTTGTGTGTGAAAATAGAAACTAGCAGTAAGACATCAGAAATGTTCAGTTTCATTAGTTGTTAGGACTTAATAGTTTGCACTATATTTTGAAATTACAGACATTATGTTAGGACTATGTGGGACAGGTAATAGCTTTTAAATAGCCTTTCTCTTTGATCTGTAACTACAGCATTTTACAATAGTTTATCCATAAAAAATACTTTACCACAGTGATTGAGTTTTCAAACACTATTAGTAATTTTGAATCATTAACGATTGTGGTTTAATTTAAGCAATAAGCTGGAGGATAAGAAACTGCTTTCAAAGATTTCTAAGGCACACCACAGCCTTAAAGTGGAATAATTTCACCCTTTTGGATGTTACACTCAGTACAGATGAAATTCACTTAAAGTAAAGTTAACCATTTTAAACAATTCTAGCTGTACAGGTTCCATCCCACCTTTATCAAGTTTCAAATAATTATCATCTGCTCCCCATTCTTTTTCTCTTTAGCTTCTGGCAACTTATTAGATGCGTGTTGTCTATAGATATACCTATTTTGAATATTTCATATTAGAATATTTCATAATATTCACTAAATCTTTGGTGTGCGGCTTCTCAGCATGATTTCAAAGTTCATCCGTGTTATAGCCTATGTCAGAACTTGATTGCTTTTATAACAGCATCAAATTCCACGGCTGATCACTACATTTATGTATCTATTCATTAATTGCTGGATATTTGGATTGTTTCTCTGTTTTAATCATTATGAATTATCATGGTTTTTTTTTTTTTTTGAGGGATCCATGAGTTTAGTATCCATTGGTGATTATTGCCTGAATCAATTGTCACTGATGATTTTGGGGTTTTCCTTTTAACATTTAAGAGATGGATTTCTTTCGTGAGTAAGACTAATGAGTATGTGTATGTTCTTTTATCTGATTTATAGTAATCTACTCTTTTTTAATGATTTATGTATGCATACAGGAACTGGGATGTAGGCCGGAAGTACAGGGGGGTGGTGTAGGGAGGTGAGAGGATTCACCAGAGATAGAATAGAGAGCAGAACAGGCAAATCATTGGAAATACACTGCTGAGGAACATCTGTAATCTGACAGCAGTGTGTCCATAGTTCTAGACTGTCTTAAGTTTCTCCTGTCTTAGTACTTTAGCCCAGGCTTTCATCTTCTTGTCCAACTCCTCTTTTATCAACTCTACCTCTTCTGGTGGCTGAAGAGGTTATTCATGCCCCTGTGTAGCATTCCTTAAGGCCGCTACCATTGCAGTAAAGTCCATGATTGATGTTTATGTATTAATAAATACAGCTTAAAGGACACTTGTAGTCCCTATTCTTCCAGTACCCTCCCTTCTAGGTGAATATTCAACGGTCCCACCCAGGCCTGGCACGTGCCCTGATACTGTTGTATGTGTAGAGTTCAGAAGGGGCTGCTTATTGAAGTGGGAGATATAGGCCCCTGGGGTCCATAGGACCCCTTCTAGCTGTGTCCTTTCTGGCTACAGAGTCACGGTGTCAGCACTAAATTCTTCATACATCAGAAGAGCTCAAACCCCTAATGGGATGAGTGTAAGGACTGAATGGGATAAATTGGTCAAAAGCCCTAGCACCAGTGTCCAGTGTTCACTCAACACATATATATATTGTACATAATATTTGTTTTGCTAGTCTTTGTTTTTTGAGACTCTTTCCTGTTGCAACCTTCCCTGTACTCTATTTTCCACTATTCCCCCATCTGCCTCCCTCCCCCATCAAAACAAGCAAAGTACATACCATGGTACTACCCTCAGAGATTCCAATCTGATTGCCTGAGGGACTAAATACATGGTAATTGGTATACCATTCTAGAAAACAGTAGGTTATTGCATGATTTGGGTATATGAAGACTTATATACCACTGTGCTACAGTTATAATTTTAGGTTTCTGGTCCAGTTATTAGCCACAGACTTGCTTTGATTTGTCTCCACTTAGTTACTGCTTTTGGATTTACTTAAATTGATACCTGGCTAAGGGTGCCTAGGTTGTGAGTGCTGGCTTGGACTAGGGATGGGAGCTAGGGTTTGGGACACCCACTGCAACTCTGAGGAGTACCAGAGACTTGCTCCTAACACTTCATATGGTAACCATCCCAGCAGTTCATGGATTTTAGCAATTGTGGTTGTGGATTGTTTTCTTCTATGACACTAGGTTTGAGCCAAATGAAGTCCGTATATTTTGGGATGGCTGAAAGCATTAACAAAATGATCTTTTAGTACAGTAAGATTTGGAGACAAAATCCACACTCCCTTTTCTCATAACTGTACCCATACCCATCATGGAACTCGGCTGGAACATTTTTCTCTGAGTACTTGCACACCACATGCTGCTGTTTAATTTTCTTCTTTGGATTTCAGGCAAAGTCCTGCGTCTGTCATGTTTGTGGCGTCCACCTGAACAGACTCCACTCTTGCCTCCATTGTGTTTTTTTTGGCTGTTTCACAAAGAAACATATTCATGAGCATGCGAAGTCAAAACGGCACAATCTGGGTAAGGCGCCTTCCTGAGCTGTCCCGCTGGACATTAGGAATAGTCATTGCCCCCACTTTCTGTTTTGTGAATTTTGATTTGCATTTCCATTCTTCCAAAGTCCACTTTATCTAAAATAATGTGACCTCCTTGTGAAAATCCACAGGGAAAACAATAAAGTGAGCTATGCAGTACTAGAGTGGCACTGCTTTCTAGGTTCCTCAACCCTTGGTAGGAGCTTCCAGAAAAAATACACCTCTCATCTGCTGAAGATAAACCATCTGCAGCGGGAAATCCCTTTGTAATAATGAGGCTCTGTGATTTCAAGAAGGACATGGTGCACACAGTCTCATATCTCCAAATCTGTCATATTTACATGTTCAGTTGTTTTTTTTTTTTAAAGGTGATGTAACTTTTTTTTTTTTTTAAAGATTTATTTATTTGTGCATACAGAACTGGGGTACAGGCCAGAGGCTCAGGGGTGGTGAGAGGCTTCACCAGAGTGGGGAACAGAACAGGCAGATCGACGAAGTACACTGCTGTGGGGAGCAGCGGGTGGGTCTGGAGAGGTCTGCTACACCATGTGGTCACCTCCGGGGCAGGTGGGAATCGAACTCATGTGGAAGTGGCTTTAGCTTCTCAGTGCTGTGCTTTAACCTGCTGCGCCACCAGGGAGGGCCAGTGATGTAACTTTTTAAAAAAATGATATTGTTGAAGAACTGCAGAGTAGGCCAGAGGCCTACTCAGAGGTGGGTGAAAGGTGTCAAAGGTGGTGATAGCATTGAGACTTAACCCCTAGGCCATTAGAGAGGCCCAACACACTTTCATTTTTTAATTAAATTTTGACTGCTTGCCTTTCTCTTTTCAGCCATAGAACTTATGTATGGAGGTATCTACTGCTTTTTGTGTCAGGACTATATATATGACAAAGACATAGAGATAATAGCCAAAGAAGAACAGCGGAAAGCTTGGAAAATGCAAGGTTTGTTTTTACCTAGCTGTACACACCTGACTATTATCTTACTTCTGTCTTGCCTGTCAAGAACAAAACTCACCAAGAGAAAGATAAATATCCAGGGAGAGAGCTGCTGGGTTTTTATAGGTTGGCATCTGATTGGCAGAAGATGCCCCCCACTCCTGCTCCATCCCTCTTGTAGAGGAGCCAGGTGAGGTGACTGGCTGCCACAGCATGTCCACAGCATCCTGAGTGACTTCCTAGGCTACAGCAAGAGCCCCAGGGTACCCCATGGGTCTGAGAATGCTACAAAGGGCTCTGCCAGGCTGACAGAACCATTGTACAAAGAACATACAAACCCAGCATCTGCTTTGTACATTCTTGCCTTAATCATCCTTACATTAAAAACCACCCATAGTTTTGAGAATGAAGTAATAGAAATAAATACTCTCTAATCAGAATGATTTGTACTTAATAAATGTTTTCCCAGAGAACAGTTTCTTTAGCTTTTATTCTTTCCTCAAAAATCTAATGATGTTGTAACTAAGTGTAATATATTATTTTTTGGTGCAAAATACTTAGATCCCAGGACTAAGTGATGCATGTCATGGAATAAAACAGAACTGTTCTAAAGTCATTTCAGAAAGCCTATCTATTGGTGATATGCTCTCTTTAAGTGTATTGAGTTATGCAAAAATTTTAGGTGGTGAAAAAATAGTGCTTCTAAGAGAGGAGGGTGTGTGTTGACTGAAAGGTGATTCTTAGTGTTTACACCTTTACTATCTTTCGTTGAAATCTTTAACAGGTACAGATGTTCATGAAGATAATATATTTAAAAATGCCTTTTCTGTTCAATTTCACTCATTCTTTGGGGCAATTCTTTCACTCATTCTTTGGGGCAATTCTTTCATCTGAATTGCCATGTACTTTCATAGGCGCTGAGGCTGCTGTCTCTCTCTCTACACTCAAGGAGAGAGACTGAGAAACAAGCATCTTGTCATCCGTGTTAGAATAGCTTTAATTGAAGGTATTACTTTCCTTGCAAGAAACATAACTTATACACAGAAAATTCTCCAAAAGAAAACCCATTATGTATTCGCCCTCATGTTCTAGTTGGGGTTTAGAAGACCTCATGTTTGATATTCACTTGCAAATATAACCTCACAAATACTGTAGCACTATCAGTTATACTTAGAAACACATTTGATGGGAAATTTAGTACCTGACTATCCTGCTCTGCTTAGGTGTTGGAGAGAAATTTTCAACTTGGGAACCAACCAAACGGGAGCTTGAACTGCTGAAACACAACCCGAAAAGGCGAAAGATCACCTCCAACTGCACCATTGGTAGGTGGCAGCCATGCTTGAGTGTTGGTCTGATTAGACTTACTTCGTTCTCACTTAGTACTTATTGCTTATTTCTTACTTATGTGGGTTTCATGACACAATGCCCTTTAAGTAACTGTGAGTCTGTCCTTCACTGCCCACTTCTTTTTTGTTTTGTTTTTTAAAGATTTATTTATGCTTGTAGAACTGGGGTATCGGCCAGAGGTGTGGAGGTGAGAGGATTCAACAGAGACAGAGTGAGGAACAGAACAGGTAGATCTACTGAAATACACTGCTGAGGGGAGAAGTGGACTGGTCAGGAGAGGTCTGCTGCAACATGTGGGTCAGCTCCCTGGCTGAGGATTGAACTCGGTCATCAGTGGCTTCTGAGAGCTTCATAGTGAAGTGCTTTAAACCATTGTGCCACCATGGAGGGCCCGCTATCCACATCTTAAGCACCTGTTCTCTAAAGCAGGCTTGGGGGCAGTGATGGTGGGAATGGCCCTGCCCCATGGCCCTCAGAGTCCATTCTTGTAAAAAGACTCAAATATATTCTGGCCAGGTTAAGGCTATGTGCAGTCATCCACGGAGAAAAGTGTGAGTGTTCTCTGACTTGAGTACATTTATATATGTTAGAAATGTGTAAAATGGGAGAGGCTTCATTTTTACCTGGTGGGTGGTAGAATACGCCTGTGAAAGCTTGTAATGGCTGAAGAGTATGAGAGAGAGGTGAAAGTTACTCTGCAAGGTTCATACAACGATGGCATAAAGGTCAGACAGCTTGTTGTTACTACATTTCTTGCTCTTCTTGAATGAATAAAAGAAAATGAACAAGTAAATGTAAAGGAAGCCTGCAATGCCTTTGGTTTCGGGGTGCACAGGGGCTAATGTGCCAACTGTTCCCACTCTCCCATCTGCTTCCTGTCCAGGTCTGCGCGGGCTGATCAACCTGGGAAACACGTGCTTCATGAACTGCATCGTGCAGGCTCTGACCCACACACCTCTGCTGCGGGACTTCTTCCTCTCGGACAGGCACAGGTGTGAGATGCAGAGCCCCAGCTCCTGTCTGGTCTGTGAGATGTCCTCGCTGTTCCAGGAGGTAAGGGGGTTCCTCCCCCATGTCCTACCTTCATTTAAAAAAATGATTGACCGGCATAAAGGAAGGCACATTCTGAAACCTTGTATGTGAATAAATATTTCATGCTTACATTTTTATGGAAGAGAAACATTTTTTTCCCAAAAGGAATTGTTAGGTAACTGGCATCAGTTTTAGAGGCACACTGCTGGCTAAAGGGTGAGAAGGAGCGCTTTGAGGGGGGTCTAACAAGTGGGTGGCATTTGCCTCTGCTATACACGTGGTGAGTTCACCTTCATCTCCATGTCTGCCATCCTGATCCTAGTAAGGCATGTGGGGTGCTGTGTCCCTTCCTGCTCTGTTCGCAAGCAGAGTAAGGTCTTCTGTGTCCACACCTTCTGAGTGTGCTTCACTCAAAGGGCTCTTCTGAACCCCCCTGCCTTAAATACCAGGTTCAGTCCCTCTGAGGGCTCAGAGGCTGCACTCAGGTTGTGCCTGTCCTTATGTAGCCCCGAGCAATGCTTTCCACATTGCTCAGGACTTAAGTGACTTCCCAGATCAATGACTTCAGAAAGGCACTCAGCTACAGTGGCTCAGTCTCCCAACTGAAAACCAGGGCTGTTTCTGCCCTTAAGTTGCTGCAGGAGCTGGGTGCCCTGTAAGTAACAGGACACCTGCAGACCTGGCCTCCTGTCTCTCATAAGCTTTGCTGTAACATAGCCTCACCACTCACCTGTGTGTCAGACCCGTCAGTGGCAGAGGGGTGTCAGAGCATATTGTAGGAAAAGTTTGCCAACTTCTTTCTGGTCTAACCTAACTCATTTCCTAAGTACCCGCACCCTGCCAATAACTGCTACGTTACAGCAGCAAGTAGACCAAAATAGGAATGTTAGTGCGCACTCACACTAATGGATTTTCCTGAGTCCATTGGGTGATACAGCTTCTATCATACTGCCTTTAGGCTCAAGTTTACTAAAGTGTAATTTAGCATACAGGTGGATTTGTTTTGGCAGACACATGTGCTTCATCACTTAGACCTAATCTGGAGCAACTAGATGGCAGGAAGGGAGAAAATGACGCACAGCCTCAAAAAGTGCGGTGAGTGCCCACAGAGACAAAGCAGTCATTCTGGTCAGACTAGCCGTAGACTTTCTCGTAGCTGTGCAGTATCTGTGCCTGTGCTAGGTGTTTGGAGTGTTGCGTTTATTGCTAATGGGCGTTTTCCTTCCCTTCTCTCTGAACAGTTTTACTCTGGGCACCGTTCCCCTCACATTCCATACAAGCTGCTGCACCTGGTGTGGACACACGCCCGACACCTGGCGGGCTATGAGCAGCAGGATGCCCACGAGTTCCTCATCGCCGCCCTGGACGTGTTGCACCGGCACTGCAAAGGTGTGGCCACGTCCTTGTTTCTCCCGAGGGTGTGGGGTCTGGGCACGTGTGCTCTTGCCCATAGAGTGGGTATGACCTGTTGGATTTCATCAGTGTGTGCTCATTTTTTTCTCCAATAAGGAAAACGCCACAAAGAGGTTCTTTGTATCTTGTTTTTCAACCAGGAGGAAACCTTTTTGGGTTGCTGACCTTGCAGGTGGCATGGTGTGGCACTGGCTCCTCTGTAGCTCCGACAGGAACCGTTAGCCTTCAGTTCTTCATAGGCCTTTGCCTCGAGTCCTGTGCTGCTGGGCTCCGCTTGGCTTGACTTGTGAGTCTGAGGGAGCTAAGTTCATCTCCCTCTGTGTTGTCATGGCTGTGGAGCCCAGAAGCTTCTGGACACACACAACTTACCCATCGAAACTTCTCCCTTCCCTTGTGGAGTCCCCGAAAGGGCCACTGTTGTAAAGTAGCCAGAGAGCTGAATGTGCAAAATTCAACCTGCACACTTGCTGCTCCTTCCCATGTTGATTTCTGGTTGCCTCTTTAAAGGGTAAAATTCTCACTGCAACTTGGCTCTCCTGTAGTGTCGTCTTGCATCCTGGTGCCCTCACCAGGGTTCTCAGACGTGTGTTTAACAGCTTTGGGGTGTTTCAGGAGGCGGGGAAGAGCATGCAGCAGCTCTGAGGGCTAGTAATGGAAGATTGGGCCTGAAAAACAAATTTTGGTGGGTTCTTCTCCTGTCTCCCAACCGCAGGTTTCCCAACTTGAAGGCCCCATGCTGAAGTAACCAACAGAGGTTATCAGCTAAGGGGCGTCCCTCAAACTTTAGGTCAGTCATGCTCAGGGCTTCTTAAGTCCATTATTGGTGCTTCTGTCCTGCGCTCTGGGGTGAAGTCTAGGAGTATTCATTCCTGCCAGACCTGATGCTGCTACTGGTTTAGGCGCATCGGTCAGTGTTACTAAGTGTGTCAGGGCGGCACGTCCCCTGCTCACCTCTGACCTCTGTGCTGATGTCCTGTTGGCTGATTTTCTCTTTAAAGAGCATTATCTTTCCAGGTTGCTGTGTGAATAGTCTTTAGCTTCTTCCCAGTCTCGGTAGTTGGCCTCTTTCACTGGGGCCCTGTGGAATCTGGAATTACAGCTCAGGGATGAGCCAAACGTGAAGCTCGGCAGCTTATTCTGATCAACTATCATAACTTTGGGTTTGGGCTTTATTTATTTATTTATTTAGTACTTCTATGATTTTCTGATGGAAACATAGCTAATTCTATGAATATCCTAAGAATCAAAGTAGCTTAATAGCTGAGGTAAGATTAATTTCCTTGTATAAAGCATAACATACAAACAGAAAAGAGCCACTGTGAAAGATTATTAAATTTTTCTGAGCATTTGAGAATAATTAGGAGACTTCTATAACTAGAAGCTGAAAATGGGTTATGTTAAAACTTAAGTTCAAACCCAAAAAAGTGGGCAGTGATACTTCTCGTTACAACTGACTGGAAGACATAATGTTCCTGAAGTTCCAGAACTAGGGGCTGATGAGAAAAACAGGCTGAGGTGGGAGTGCTGCAGTGACCTTTGTGAAGGGAGAGCTCTGTTTGAAACCAGTCTGGGGAATAGGGACTCCCCTGAGAGGATTTCTCTAAAATATGTTGAGCTACCACCTCTCTGGAAAAATTTACTTGGCTCATGAAAAGGAAATCATGATTTTCCTCAGTTGTTGGGTTTTAAGTACTTTTTGGTTTCAAGACAGAAGCTAAGGAATGGAGAGAAAGAAGGATATAGAAAGCTGTCTGAGCCATGCCCCGCCCCTGGCTCCTCTCTGAATAAGAGTTTGTGTGTGCACTTTGAAATGGTTGGCCCTTCTGCCTTGGTGCAGCTCTGTGCATGGACAGCCACCTTCCTTGGGTGGCTTCTTTGGCTTTTGGAAACCTGCCTTGGGGCTGTAGACGTTGGTCACTGACCTACACACTCTTTCTCCAGGGGATGATAATGGGAAAAAGGCCAACAACCCCAATCATTGCAACTGCATCATAGACCAGATCTTCACGGGGGGGCTGCAGTCTGATGTCACCTGCCAAGTCTGCCAGTAAGTGCCTGATACCCCAGTATTCTTCTGGGATCCTCGTTGACCAGGACCTAGTTCCTGCAGATTGACTACACTCTGGGTGCTGCTTATTGACCAGCATGGTACCTTTTCAGTCAACAAAACTCTTGTATCTGAGAAATTTACATCTTTCAGATTCTTGATTTGAATGTTTACTTGGTACCTCCCCAGTTGGACCCTTGGTGATGTGTCAGTAGGATGTTTGGCTGCTGCTCTGGGTCCTTTGCTGCAGCAACCAGATGAGAAGAAGTGCAGTTGGGAGCTTTGCCATATACTGAGATAAGATCATGCCAGCGGAAATGCTAGAGAAACTGCAGGTCCCCTGCGTGCTGAAGGTCATCAGGATGGTGGCCAACAAGCTCGCAGTCCTTCACGTGAAGCTTCCTTATTACTGCCCGTGCTCAGAGTATGTGCTTTGAAGCTTTCCCCCACGTCTCTGCTTTCCTTTCGGTGCTTGACACTGGGAATCACATAAAAGAGTCCTTCTCAGAGAAGGAATGGACCTCAGGTGGTAGATTTATGGACATGTGCTCCAAAGTGTCTTTAATTTTAATTATTTCATCATTTCCTCTTTCATGCCTCTGAAGTAGTGTCCTTAACTATTTGCACTTACAGTTTCTGAGCTTGGCGCACAAAGGTTTCAGCGCCAGGAGGAGGTGCACTGGCTGAAGTTAGAGGAGCCCTCCAGTCTATTTCATGCACACCAGTGTTTTCTATTGGTTTCAATTGAAAACAAGAAACAACCCAGTCATGAGCCACAAAAATGATCTCATAAGCTATGGTGTATTACCACTCGCATTTGTGTAGGGTAGGCCAGTTAATGGGAAAAGTTCTTCCATGTGAGTGTTAAAAAGGATGCAGATCCTGGTAAGTAACATAGCACCAACATGGTCCATCGCTCTGGGCAGCTCAGAGTCCCAGTTTTGGCCCCACAAACTGAATTCCACCTGCAGGATATTATCTGGGGTTTATGTCCTACTTAATATCTGATAGATTTCCCAATCTGAATTTTCTTTTGTGCATTTTAAAATAAATATTTAGGAGCAGCTAGCTTTGTCAAATAGAGCACAGACTACAGCAGCTACAGCTCGGAGGTGCCTTCAGCTACAACGGGTAGCTAGGGTAGCGGTTCCCAGTCGGCAGTCTGCAGTTCAAGATGCTGCAGGGATGGATCCTTCAACTCAGATCTTCTGAACATGGGGCCAGGAATTTAAATTTAGGATATTTTTCCAAATATCCTAAAGTGATTGTGATGATCTGCAGTCCAGGCATTATTGTTTTACAAAAACCTTGGCTGTAAGTGGCTCACATGTCGTCCTCCATGGGACCATGAAGGGTGTGAGCTCAGCTCTTCCTGACTTGAAATGTCATTTGGACTAAGGACAAAGCAGTGAAAAATGCTGAGGTGCACTCCATCAGTTGCGCCTCTACCCCTGTCTGGATATCTATTCTCAGGTGTGTTTCTGTCTCCTTTTTCTGCTAGTGGTGTCTCCACCACAATAGACCCCTTCTGGGACATCAGTTTGGATTTGCCTGGCTCTTCCACCCCATTCTGGCCCCTGAGCCCAGGGAGTGAAAGCAGCGTGGTGAATGGGGAAAGCCATGTGTCAGGAACCACCACGCTCACGGACTGCTTGCGAAGGTAAGAAGCCTGTCTGTACTCTGAGGGAAGGAAAAAAGGCCTTTCCTTACAGGCAGTTACTCTCCTTGCCATGAGATAGTTCAGAGAAGGGTTTGATTAGAGTAAAGCCCCAATAAATTCAGGCCCACCCAGGGTCCCAGCAGTATTTCCTTTCATGTGTCCAGAGTAGAACATGAGAAAAGGTAGGATAACAAATGCCTACACTTGGTGCCAGTTGCTCATACTGGTTTGTCAGAGTTTTGTGAGACAGCTGGCTGTTTCTGTTCCCCCCAGCTTTGTGCTGGCGGATGTGCTATCATGACTCCTACCCCTTTCTAGTCCCCTATAAATTATCAGAGAGCCAAAAAACAAAACTTGGAACCTCCTCACCTTTTGTGGGTAATATGTGCAACAGAGTATGCCCTAAGACTCCCTTTCTCGTGTGGTTTGCCCTTTTCTGTGGGCGATGGAAACACCTGTGTTTTGCACTTTCAATTGTCCAACTACAGCATCAGTGTAGACAAGTGATGAGGTTTGGGTGTAAGTGCTGCAAGATGCATTTAAGTAGCTATCGCATACAGCTATGGGGCAAGCAGAGACTCTTGCTAAACTTGATTTTAACCAAGCTTAATGTTTTACCATCCTTATTTTTTCATTCATAATAGAAGTCACTGCAGGTGAGTCCTTGTATGGAAGTGTAGTTTTACCTTGTGTGGTCAGCAGGCACAAAGTTCATGTTTAGAATTTTAAAATACAGGAACTTAAGTTCAGATAGTGTGGTAAGACACTGCTCATTGGTGTGGCATATATTTACCTGCACTCACCAGATCAGAATTCCTGCAAGGTTCTAAAAAACAGAAACTGGTTCTGGTTAACTTAGTCAGGTGGGAGTATTGCATAGCCCATCTGCTTTTAGGAATTCCCCAGATGCTGTGGGAGGGGAGATAGATACAATAGATGCTTGAACAGGGATGTGAGTTGGCCTCTGTTTTCCTTCCTGAATTCCTTTACTTAAATTCTGTCTTGTAATCTCTTGGTTTCAAATTCACAGCCTTCAACCCCATTGTTTTCTTTCCTTGAAACTTCTATGTTGAAAAACAAGGCCACTGGTCCAGAGAATTCCCCACTTGGGTTTTGCATTCATGGGTTCATTCTGGCACGTTGTGTCAACTCGCGCAGATAGCCTTGCCCAGCCTTCCTCCTCCCCCAGGTGCCCACTGGGTCTTCATGCTCCCACTTTTGGGCTTCTCACAGGTCGGACAGTATCAGCTTTGCTCAGAAGGGGCTTCATCTTGCCTGAGGCAAAAAGACAAAATTTCCAAAGGATAAATAAGGATTTTCAGACCTTTGTGTGAAAAGATTGGGTGTTTGGTTTTTTAGCCTAAAACCTTAATATTTTGCATATACTACAGTGAAATTTTTGTCTTAGGAATTTTTATCTTGGGTAGCTACCTCCTGTACCAGAAATATTTACCTATTTACCCAGGCAGTCTTTCTGACTATCTTGTGGTATGTCTTACATTAGAAAATTACCAGGCAGATGGACGAAGTACACTGCTGAGGGGAGCAGCGGGCGGGTCAGGAGAGGTCTGCCACACCATGTGGTCACCTCCGGGGCAGGCGGGAATCGAACTCATGCGGAAGTGGCTTTAGATTCTGTGTTGTGCTTTAACCCGCTGCGCCACCAGGGAGGTCCAGTTTTTTAATTAATTTTAATTTGAGATAGTTGTCAATTCCCATGTCATTGTAAGCAATAAACCTAGTTCCCCCAATGATGATATTTTGTGAAATTGTGGATCACTGTCACAGCCAAGATATTTGCATCCATGCAGTCAGGATGCAAGGGGCACCCTTCCCCACAAGGCTCCTCACCCTACACCTGCCTCTCACCACCACTGACTCTGTCACCCCGGCAACTAGGAGCATGTTCCTTGTTTTTATAAACCTCGTGTTTAAGAAGGTAATGTGAGCGGAGTCATCTGTAACTTGGGGATTGGCTTTTGTCACTCAAATTCTAGGGGGATTCAGCTAGGTTGTGTGTATTAATTATCTGTTCCTGTTCGTGCACACATGTTCCTGCACCACAGTGTTCAGCCACTGGCCCATCCATGAGGGTGCCTGGGTTGCTTCCAGTTAGGGGCTATTAGAAGTAAAATTGATCAGCACTCCTGCCCACTGTGTGTGAATGTATGCTTTCATTTTTCTGGGGCATATTTGATTGATGGGTCTTACAGTATCTAGAAAATTATTACCATAGTATCAGACTTTACGGGACCTCTCTGGTAGCCTGTGGGTTACCGCTCAACACTACCACTGCGAAGTTCCACCATGATGGCCTGAGTTTAATCCCAGGCCAGGGATCAGGCACAGCAGACCTGTTTGCCTGTTGCTCCCTTTAACAGTGTGTTTCAGTAGATCTGCCTGTTCTCTTCTCACCCCCTGCACCTCTGACCTACAACCCATTTCTACACAAGTAATAAAATTTTAAAATTACAATAAAGGAATAATTCTTTAAAAAAAAAACTTTAGGTAAATGTTTTGAAAGTGATAGAGAAGGAAGAAAATACTTTTTCATTATGAAATTACAAACCTCTCTAACTGTATTGTGTGTTTTTTAGTAAGGAAATGAACCCTTTGGAAGTAATGAAATGTCTGTTTCTCTTCTTACCTCATCAGTTTTTTTTTCTCCCTAAACATGTACATTTTAAATACCTTGTAGATTTACCAGACCGGAGCACTTAGGAAGCAGTGCCAAGATCAAATGTAGTGGTTGTCACAGCTACCAGGAGTCCACTAAACAGCTCACCATGAAGAAGCTGCCCATTGTGGCCTGTTTTCATCTCAAAGTAGGTTTGCCAGAAAATAGTCTCCAGTACTGGCTCGATTTTGTGTCTCCGGTACAGTCAGCCTGTTGGTTTGGGTAGAGTGCTTTTAGAATTGCAGTGGGCCCAGTAGCAAGCACTGAAGACAAGCGGGTAGTAAGCTGTAAACCCTTTTCCTGTCTTGTAAATAAAAGATAATTTTCAAATGAGACTAGGATGTGAATTACATACCCTACTGGGGAGGAGGGCTTTTATTAAGGTTTCACTGTTCCTCCACTCCAACCTTTGTTTCTCTTTTACTTTTAGAAGCAAAGATCCTTAGCATTATGATCTAGTCAGGGGTCAACAGGCAGGTTTTTTTTCTATAAAGGTTCAGATAGTAAATATCTTGAAAGTTGCGGACACATACAATCTGTTTCACAGTCTTCTGAATTTTATAATTCTTTAAAAATGTGATAACCAAAAAAACCATTCCTAGCTCACCAACTGGATTTGGTGGCTTCTGATCATGTCAGGAATACATTGTCAGGTCAGAGGAGTGGAGTTTACTTTTGCTAGTGCCAGTTGTCAATGTTGCTTTCTGAAACCTTGCACTTTGCAGGATTTGACATAAGCCTTATTTTTTGTGCCCCTGATATTTATTACTTTGAACACTTGTATCATTTTAAGACATGACTTGAACCCCATATGTTAGAATTACATGGGTTAATAGTATGTTAGATGATCTGTAAGAGCTAGATATTGCCAAAGGCAATTGATAAAAAAAGTTGAAAAGCTCAGTTTTGGGACCACAGGGAAAAGCACCAGGGAGAGACCTTCATAGCTTCCTTTGTCTCCGTCTTTCCCATTTCTGTAGCGATTTGAACACTCAGCCAAACTGAGACGGAAGATCACCACCTATGTGTCCTTTCCCCTGGAACTGGACATGACCCCCTTCATGGCATCCAGGTATGAAGGGGCTTGTCAGCTGGGTCTGTGGTGAGGGGTGTGCTCCATTAGGTCTGTGATTATCACGGGGCCCTGAGGAAGAGGGATGACAATGTTGATGTAACCCAACCTGCTTAAAACCCACCTCACTGGAAACGGAAGACACACTTTAGTTTAATGAATTGCTTCTCCCCAGGTATATTTCAGCTTTGTATTTTCCTTAGTAGTCTTTTATCAACTTTCAGACTTGTCAAGATAGGATCACAGTGAGAAAGCAGCATTTTTAGCTGATGAAATTGATTCTGGATACATATAAACTGAGTTGATTTTGTAGTTGAAGATAACTTTGCTCTTGTTTTCAAAACCTTTATGTCATAGACCACTTGTAATTTACCCTCTCACAAAACCAGGGGCTGGCTGATGGGGTAGAAACACATGAGTTCCCTAGGGCTGCTGTGATATTACCATAGGCTTGGTGGCCTTGAGTTGCAGGTGTTTCTCATAGTTCCAGGAACCTGAGGTCAAGGTGTGAGCAGGGCCGTGCTTCCTTGAAAGGATCTGGGGAAGGTCCCATCCTTTGGGAGGTGCAACAGGTAGAACTGGGGACCAAGCTCCATGCCAAGGCAGAGCACTTAGCCGCCCTGACCTTAATTTACTCACCTCAACTCAGAGATGAGCTGGAAATCCTACCTAAACATCTCTAGCACAGGTCTGACATAGTAGGCTCCCAGTGATATTGATATTAACATTCAAGCCCTGGGTCTCTGGCTCATTATTTTAAATGATTCTGAGTTTTCTGTTGTTTGTTACAGCAAAGAGAGCAGAATGAATGGACAGTACCAGCAGCCCACAGATAGTCTCAATAATGACAACAAGTAAGTGGTGTGAGGTCCTGGCACCTGCAGGTTTGAGCTGGGAGAGCATCCTTGCAGGGTATCCCACTGGCCTTTCTCGGAGATGCCACTTGTTTATGAGTAACAGCGATGGAGCTGTTATTTCTTTGGCTCACTGACTTCTGGTCTCACTGTTGACCTGTGTTGAAAGTACTTAGTCCATGTTAGGAAAGGATCTTCAGGTCTGCATCATAAACATTCCCTCCTGTTGGGGAGCATGACCCCTCCTCTTCTGGCTACACTCTGCCTTTCCTCACTGTCCTCCCTCCCATCATCAAGACAGGGAGGGTAAAAGTGTCACAGTCCCTGCCCTCTCCAGTTGCCGTTAGCACTGCTACTAACTCCAGTGATGTCGCTCAGAGCAGAGTGGGCAGACTTTTTTGCCTCTGTGTGTTGGCTTTCACTCCTAGGGTGCTTCATCTGGGGTCAGTGGGGCTACCTCTTGCTGTGCAGGCTTCTGACTGCATGGTTTCTGATGGTGATAAAGTTGAGCTTTCTGCTTTTCTCCCCAATCCTTTCCTCCCAAACTAGGTACTCATTGTTTGCAGTCGTTAACCACCAAGGGACTCTGGAGAGCGGCCACTACACCAGCTTCATCCGGCAGCATAAGGATCAGTGGTTCAAGTGTGATGATGCCATCATCACCAAGGCCAGCATCGAGGACGTGCTGGACAGTGAGGGGTATGTCCAGGTGGCACTTGTTTCCTGCTTGTCCAGCCTCGTCCAGTGGCATGCTTTTTCAGTGTGCCATTCGGAGATGTTCCCTTCCGGTTGCTGAAGTAGTGAGGCCTGTCTGCACAGCACGCCAGCCTTATCATTTGTCAAGTGAGAAAGAATGTTTGACCAGGGTGCTCTGGATTGACGCCCTCACCCAGAAGATGGTGGGCTTGCATTAACCACAGAACCCCTCTCTTCTGTGAAAGCTCTTCTCTCTTTTAGCCTTTTATTTTATTCCTTCCTGGCTTCCCTCCTTTGCCTTGACAAGTCCTTGTTCTTGAACCCCATGGTGAGCTGCCATGAGCTTTGAGGCATCTGGACTTTGTATTTGATGGGGCCACCCTTTTGAAGTTATACGTAATTGTATTTAAGAGGACAGCTTCGGCAGTGAGGCAGCCAGGGTGATGCTGGGCTTAGATAAGATCCCACTATGAGAGTCCTACAAAGTTAGTCCTACCCCCAAAGGCAGTGGCAGTCACAGACATGAGAGGCCAGGCTCCAGAACCATATGAGAGGGAGGACCCTGGGGCAGACAGACTGGAGTGGCTTGGGAACTAGATGGGGTGCTTGGGAACTAGGACTCCATGTTTGGGAACTAAAATCCAAAGCCATTCCACCAAGAAATCTGACAGCAGAGCTGTGTAGAGACCTCAGTACCAGTGTTCTCAGTCGGGGTGGGTTGGTTCTGTGTAACTTGGCTGGAATTTGAAAATAAGCATGCTTCTCTCTTCACTTTTGCAGATACTTACTGTTCTATCACAAACAGTTCTTGGAATACGAGTAGCCTTACCCACAGCTGGTCAGAAAAATGAAGGCAATGAGTTGGCAAGTCTCACGAAATGATCCCCAACCTCCCCAACAACATGATTCTGCCATCCATGGAAGCGCCCTCAAGAGCATTGGGGCGGGGGGGTCCTCTGTAGCCTGGGTCTCAAGGAGTCATCACAGTGGGTGCCGAGGATGGGTGTTTGACTGGACAGACCCCATGCTCGGAGAACGCTTCCAGGAACCACACAACAGAACAAGTTAAGTGAAGGGTGTGCCCCGCGAGGGAGGAGCAGAGTAGATCTGCACTAGCGCGTCTCCTGTGCGCCTCAGAGAGAGGGGGCACGGCAGAGCACCTGTCCTGTGCTTCCGTGCAGCCACACCACAGTGAGGCTCTGAAGGCACCAGGCCATTTTAAAGTTAGGGGCCCGAGGCAGCAAATAGGAAGACAGAGATAGTGTGTAAGGACAAAATACCTTTGTCTTGTGAGCTTAGTATTAAATATATATAGCAGCGGAGCTCTTAGCCTCCCTCTGTCAGCAGATACACACAGCCGCCCCGCCCCCACCCCGAGCCTTTGGGACTGGAGACACCGGGGTTTCCGAGCACGTTTATTCTGCAGGTAACCTAGCATCAAATGCATGTGGACGCGTCAGCCCTGGTGTTCTCTTGATTTTCTAGAAATAGGCCTTTTCTTACCTCCTCCCTGTTTTTCTCTCTCTCCATTTCCACAATGATGAATTTCATAAATGTAATGATAGTAATGTGAAAGAATTATTGACTTTATACTGAAATTTAGATTGTTTCTCCTTTATACTCGAGTGAATTTTGCTTTCTAATTGGTGCTGGTTGCCTCCTTCCCCTCCTCCCGACTTCCCTTCTAGAAGCATCCGTGTCCAGGTTATAGCTGGCGGGTGCAACAGAAGGAACAGGCTGCAGCTATATATGTGTCATATTAATATTTTGAGTATATGAAGCATTTTTCAGTGGTCTTATTGTTTCCCTTCCTCATATTTTCTTCCTGGCTACCTGTGCCACTACCTTGCTGGCCATTGTGTCAGACTGAAGCTGTAGTAGCTTCCAGTGGAGACTGGATTACATTGCTCAGTGCATCTGATTCACGTTTAGTGTTGTTTCAGTTATAAGAAGAGAAAAAGTGATTGTGACAGCTTGTTGGCAGAGCTGGTAGAGGAGATAGAACAATACGAGTTGTTCCTTGTAAGATACCTTGCATGCTTCTGTCTGTTCAAACCCAAACTTAAGATTGTTTGTACCTTTCGAGAAATTATAACCCAGATGTGGGGAATGAAAAGTTGTTTCCTGTTTTTGTGAACAACCCACTTTCAAGCTGTGTCTGTTCTGGGCGCTCAGCTGCATCTGAAGAGGGTCAGCATACTGTTTTCATTGAGAGCCAGGTCCTAAATATTTTAGGCATTGTAGGGTCTTACAGTTTCCACCATAGATAATACAAAAACAATCATGGCTGTGCTCCAGTAAAACTTTTGGACACTGAAATTTTAATTTCATATAATTTGAATGTGTCACAAAATACTCATTTTTTTCCCCCCTCTTAAAAAATGTGTAAACTGTTCTTAGCTGACAAGCCACAGAAAAGCAGTGACTGAGATTCCACTCATTAGCTGGTTCGGTTACAAAGGAGTAATACTAGCAGGAGTGGAGTCCTCCTGCTTTCTGGAAAGTACTGGAACACATGAAACAGCAGTCATATACAGCTAAATCCTTGGTGATACAGATTCTTAAGCACTTGCTCATTTCATTCTCACTTGCATTTCTGCACTTCGGGACATTAAGTTTTAAAGCATTATGAAACATCCAGCATTATTAGAGAAACAGGGGTGTGTGCAGGTTTTCAGCAATGGCCCCAGTGCCCAGCCTGGGTGTGTTACAGAGCCATGAAGACTTCTTATGTAGAGGGGATCTCCCTTAATAGGAGATCTAAGAGGAGGAGAATTGACTCACACTGGCTTGCAGCACTGAGAGCCACAAAATCTCTTCCTTTGTTTTGCTCGTGGTTTCCAGAGCGGCCCAGTGCAGAGAGGGGGCAGGGCAGCCATGTGGGCCTTGGGTTTCCTGGCAGGTTGCCTGTGGTGTGGTGTTCTGTGCTGCTTCTCACATCTCTCTCCTCTACACCCTCCCCGTCCCCATGCTGTTCAAGGGCTCAGCGAGCACTGTGGCAGGATAGTGAGGCTGCATTACGTTTTGTAGGCATTACCTTGAAAGCTCATACCCCAGTTGATTATACTTGCTGCCTTTGGCTCTGGCTCTCTAAGCACTCACATTGTATTCCGATCATCACGAGCACTTTTCAACACTAAGGATTTCCCTCATACCTGGTGTATTTAAAATAATGTGTATTCCCAAGGTGGCTGTCTTCATAGCGATTTGTGCTGAAACAAGTGGACTTTGCTTGCTCAGTTGTCTGAAGAGAGGTGGGGGGGTGCCGGGGAGCCCATAGTCCTTCCCGCCAGAGAGGGAGGGCCCTCTGTGGCACAGCAGCGTCCAGGACCTTCCGCAGCAGCCCCTGCAGCGAACATGCCCATGCTCTTGGGCCTCGGCTTGGTGTGTATGCTTTTCTTTGTGTAAATTTGCTGGTTATTTTGACAGTTCAAGTGACTTTTGTTTACTATAACTTTGAAGACAAAATTGTAAGATGATGATTCCAATGATCGTGCTGTGGATTTTACTACCAAGATGTTTACACCTGCCTTTTACCTGCCTTTTAAGGAACTGTTTGACTCTATTCCCCTTCCTTGATGGCTTGTAGTCTTTCCTATGTCATAATAAAGCTACATTTTATTCTGAAAATGGCCGACTCTGCCTTCACACAATAGCCGAAGAGGGCCCCTAGGGCTCAGGGGCCTTGCTGGGGGCTCCAGCCACATGGAGGTCAGTGCAGAGTGCAGACTTGCTCTGGCCCGCCCCCCACTCTGGGTGTGCCATCTGGGAGCCATGTGGTCCCTTGGTTTCTGTGTCTCCTCTTGAGGGGAGAATGCTAAGGTATCTGGGACTCAGGATGGCAACATCCTTCAGACTCCAGTGCACATGAAAGTTTCCTGAGAGGAGGCCTGGTCACAGTGTTGTGTATGAGAACTGGGATGAGGCACAGGAATGTCCATTTTTTTGGTATCAAGTCCCCACAAGTGATGAGGAAAAGCATAATAATAATAAACAAGGAAAAATAAGCACAATTCCAATGCTGTCATTGGTCACCGGGCCATAGGTGAGTCCCTCCTTCCACTGCCCATTCCACATTTCTCTTGCTCTCCTCTGCTGGAATGGCTTGACGCAAACCTTTTTTTCTGAAGAGTCCTTGTTTGGGTCCCTTATCGCAAGTTCCTTTACAGTTGTTCCTTGCATGGGTGCGCCAGGAAGCACCAGAGTCCGGTCCCCACATTGTGGCAGTCTCCTGGAGAAATCTCCCTTTCTGGGGTTTAAGACCTTTAATTTAGCAAAGCCCAAGTTTTCCAGAACAAAGATTTGTGATATGATTACTAGGTGCGACACTGTGAGACTCGGTCCTCCTCCCACACAGCCATATGTCTGGTTGTGAAGCATTCAAGCCAGAAGAAGGAACCTCATCCTGTCACATAACTGAATCTTGAGAGGAAGCTCATGTTTCCGGGTGGTGGGTGATGTGGTAACAACAGTTAGTCTTGCAGATGTGTCCCGTTGCTGCACGTCCTTTGCTGTGACTTAGGTTCCCTGATCAGAAGCATTGCTGCATTGAATGTGGTGACGGACAGCGTGCTTGCAGGCAGGGCAGGCAGACCCGTATGCACAATGCAGATTTACTCCAGAATATACTTCTCTGCTCTCACAGTGAAGAGGCCTGGTGTGGCCAACGTTCAGGGGCTAGCTGGGCCTCCTAGGAAACAGTTCTGTCCCAGATTCAGCACTCAGCAGTAGTTAGTACTTGGTCAGGCTGAGTTGACATTGAACCTGTTCCAGCCCGTCAAGATGGCTACTTTGTTCATAGTTTAAACAAGTCTGGTGGCTGGGGAAGGAAGCTGGCTGCATCCAGAGAGCATGCCAGAACATGAAGAGCCTCCTCCAAAGATGCTCTGGTGGGCACACATGAATACAGCTACTCCTAGAATCTGATTTCAGAGGCCTGTCCCTGCCCCGCCTTCCCTGTTCTTGCCCATCAGACCAGACCGCTAACACCCCATGAGCTGGTGTGGATTTATTTTAGACCTTGCACACATTCCAGACAAGGTGGACCACATGCACACTGTTCAAAGTTCACTCGCTGGGAGATTTTCCTTTATCACTGCCCTCAAGAACACCTGAGGTGGGTGTGCAGTAGGTATTTATTGGAAAGAATCTGGGCCACTTGGCCATACAACTTACTGTACCTTCTGGACCTGCCCATACTCACGCTCTTACATGCCACTTCCAGTAGATCTAGCTGCTGCACACACTTAACCTTCAGGCCAAGCGAACTGCTTAAGGTGGTCTTACATGTTGCTATTGGGCCACTGGTGCATAGGTAGGTTCAGGCACAATGTTGACCTGATGCAGTTGAGGATGCTACATCTGTGACAGTTGCCATTTGAATACACCCTTGTAGGCTTTGGTGTGCAGTCCTTTTCTAAGACCCATCACATTTAAACAGGCCAAACAGGTGAGTTAAATATTTATAAATATCAGTGGCATGCATTACTATGGCTGCTGCTTTTAGATCTTCGATGAGGATGTTAATCTTTGAAATCCCCTCAGAGATACACTATTGTTTAAAAAAAGATTTATTTACTTACACATACAGAACTGGGGTACAGGGGTGAGGATTCATCAGAGAAGGAGTGAGGAGCAGAAAAGGTGGATCCACTGCTGAGGGGAGCAGCAGACAAGACGAGAGAGGTCTCCTGGGCCATGTGGGTCACCTTCCTGGCTGGGGATCGAATTTGAATTTGCACTGTAGTGCTTGCGAATAACTTCATAGTGCTGAGACTTAACCCCTTGTACCGCCAGGCAGGCCCAGTAATACACTATTGTTTGCTACCTTGGTGGGGAGGGTGGGGAGTTGAAGTTCTAGTAGTTTCCTTCCATATGGCTCTTTCAACTATGGTAACCTTCAACCAGTCGATGAAATAGCAATTGTGGAGGACCTGCCAAATTCCAAGTATGCCCATTATACACTCAGGAAAAGGGGAAATGACCTCAGAACATGTCAAATATACTTCAATTTTTAAAAATATCATTTCTGGGCAGAACACGGAGCTGGTTCATGCTTGTCCATGCTTTCTTCCTCTGCCATTCCACTGGCAGTGTTCAACTACTGGCATGTCTCCCAACCAGGATATCCTGAGTAGGTAGGAGAACTGTAGATGTCTCTAAGGAATCATGTTACATGAGACATGTTACATGAGCCAGAAATAAAAGTAATGTTACTAAAAAAAAAATTATCATCTTGAGCTTTATCAGTAAAAGAATATCTAAAAGTAAAAAGGGCCACCTCACTTAACATACTGCCTGGCCCATGAAAATACTCATAGAATAAGCAACTCTCAGCTTGTGGCCCCAACCAAAAAACAAAAAATTCCTAAGTGGAATAAAACTGAACGAAAGGGTCATGCCCTGCTCCCAACAGCATGTAGATTAGAAGGGAAGGGAAATAAGTGTCAGCTCCTATTCATACAGCTGTGGCCGAAGGACAGGTGGGGCGCTCAGCATCTAATAGAGGAGGGCCCGCGAGAAGCGCATCAAAGCAGAGCAGGGCAGCACAGGCAAGTGCCCAGGGCGCTGGGTCCTGGTGAATGCTGGGGGAAGGACCTCAGCAGCAGCAGCAGCAAGTCAACACCACACATGATTATGTCAGGAATGGTGGAGGAACAAAGAGCCTCGACTTCATTTGGGGAATCACGTCCTACAGTTAAAGGATTGGCTCATGGAAGAAGACTAGACTGTGACTCATGAGTGCTTCTAAGAAGTAGCACCAATAGGAAGAAGGTGCAAAGAAGAACTTCAACCTAACAGACAGCTCTCCTAGGAGAGCTGTCTAAACATGGGGTGGGGTGAGCCCATAAGGTGTTGAGTGTAACAGGTTTCCTTGGGAAGACTAGACTCACATGCAGGAGGTTTTCTGGGGAGTGCTTAAAGGATCAGAAGCTGGAGGGCAGGCAGGAGCCAAGTGAAACTGAGGGCAGTTGGAATTGGAGCACAGGGCTGCCAGCCCTGTGGGGTTCCCGGGTTAGGCTGGGCTGCTGTGCAGTGCGCTGGTGGCTGGGAGAGGCTTGGGTGAAGTGACTGTGTCGACTGCAGGATGGTTACTAGAGAGAGACTTGGCTGTGACCACCAAGCGGCCCCCCTCCAAAGGAGGGCTTAGTGCTCAGACCTGCAGTGGCGGGGCCTGGGGTGCACCCCTGTACCTACCACAGAAGCAGCTGATTCCTGGAACTCCCAGTCTACTCACTAGTCCAGGCTAAAGTCCCATTTGCAACAGGCTGAGCCTGGAGGTACAGTTGAATCCCAAATTGGACCCATTTTGTGGTCAGGACACTGTTTCTGCCCTGGTTTGCTTGGGTCCCCATGGTCTGGCATGCATGGCTCTGTGAGGGGGCATATGCCACCTTCTTGGGTCTACTTAAAATCTTACCTATTCCCAGCAGGGGAGGGTATTTAGGCCTCAGACAATACCTGTGAACTTGTGAAGGCTAGACAGCCGGCCCTTGCAAGAAGTTGTTGGCTGTCGTGGAGATGTGCCTGCAGTGGTGAGTGACCTTGTGGGGGCGCCATAACACCAGCAAAGACCCTGGGTGGCCAGTCCCCTCTGACAGGACTGGTTAACTTGGAAGATTGGGCAAATGCTTCAGCCCTGACGCTGGATGAGTCTAGAGACATTTTTCTCCCTGCTTCTCTGGTGGTGATACAAATAAACCAGCTCTGATGCTTACATCTTACATCTTACTGTGTTTCCTCATCTGTAAGATAGGGACACACACTAACAGTACTCCCTCATAGGAGTATTGCACAGAAAAACTGAGGCATGTAAATGCTTAGAACAACAGTTGGTATGTAGTAAGAACTGTATCAATATTATGTTTTTTAAATCCAAACTTGAGATGTATCAAAGCTTGGAGCTTTTTGGGATCTGCTGTTTGTCTTCTGACTGGCAAGGAAGAAATACAGTAACAAATTAGTGTATGTGTTTTCTCAGTGATACTATTTTTTCCTGTGATAAGTCCATAAGCGAAAAAGAAGCTCAAAAAATTAAGGAGGAAAAAACAAGATATTTTGCCAAGCAGGTCTGGGGCTTTTTGTGTTCTGTTGGGAGCTGACCAGATGCCAGATTGATGGGGTCGGTATCAGCTCTAGGTAGGCCTAGACAAAGTAGCTCTCAAGTCTTGATGCCCACGAGAACCACCTAGGGTCCCAACATCTCCAGTGTGTGCCCCGGCCCCCACCCCTGGAGAACAGAACCTGATTTACTTAACCTGTTGTCTTGGCATTGGGACTTTTCCCAGAATTCTCAACCAGATAAGATTGAGAACCAAAGGCCAGCAGGGCCCAAGTAAATAAAGGGAGTCAAAAGAACACAGCTGGAGGAAATCTCACCCTCCCCTGTCTCCTTTGTTCCAAAAATAACTTGAGATGCGTCCAAAACCATATCTAATGCAGTGGAATTTCTAAAATTATAAGAAATCAGAGAGATGGAAAACTTTAGATGGAGAAAGTGTTTCTGAGAGGTGGCATTGAACGGAGGTTGACATGACAGACTCACTCCTCTGACCCAAAGAGTGAAGAGCATTCCTGGAAGAGGGAACAGCCAACCAGAAGGCCTGGGCAGGAGTAAGAAGGGGAACACTTCTGGAACAAGCATGCGTGTGGCCTGGAGGTCATAGGCGTGGAGAGGAACCAGAGCTGACACCACCACTGGGGGCTCACTGCAGGTGAAAGAAGTCAAGATTCTGTGCTGTGTCAAGGGCTCATGGAGGACTTTAAGCAATGAGGAGACATGATCTGACTGATGCCTTGAAAAGATGACTGGATGCCAGCAGCCGCCTGGGAAGTAAAAAGAGCCATAGAAAGTTCCTTTCCTCGTGATAAAAGTCCTAATCATCTACAAAACCATATCTCCTGAACCCATCTGTGTGCTGAGTGCAGGACAACCAACTAGCCTGAAGCCTAAGGAAGGCAGGTGCCTGTCCACTTGTGACCCAGGGCAGGGAAGAAGCAGGAGCCACCTCTTTGAAAGAAGTCTGCCAGCAAACCCCTGAAGGAGCTGCTAGCAGCTGCCTGGATTAGCATGGGGGAGTGTAATTCTGGGAATGGCAAACAAGGGGGTGGGGGCCGACACCCACTTAAAGGTTCCTTTCCAGAGTGCCACTGAATCACCATGGAAATAGTATGTGGCAGAGAGGAAGACAGGAGGGCGCCTCCCAGGTAATGCAGGCCTGGGGGAGGGAGATGGGGTAGCAGCCAGACTAGTACTCCCAAGCTACAGCCTCACTGCTTGGGAACGGCAGCAAAGCCTGGTGGCCTCAGGGAACAGGTGAAACCCCTCTGAGGATGGTAGGAAAGTACCTTCCCCTGCCGCTGGGCAGTAATCATTTTGTAGTATATAAATGTATCAGATATTGGTGTTACAGGACACTATATGCCAATTACAGTCTCCATAACCTGGGGGAGGTGGCGGAGGGTTCGCAAAATCCATCGTCCAAAAATCCATCTTTAAAAATAGTTTCGTTTGAATGCTGCCACCCCATTTGTTCACGTCTTGTCTGTGGCTGCGCTGGCAGCAACGGTGTCCTTATAAAGAGGGATGATTTGGACCCAGGCGGACCCAGGCGGGGAGAAGAACCTGGGGCAGATCCTCTGCTAGAGGCCTCTGAAGACGTACACACACACACACACACACACACACACACACTCAGGCCAACAGACTCTCGAGCCTGGCAAGCCAAAAGTAGGAGCCAAAAAGTAGGTTTTCAAACCCAGACACCCAGCTGAGGAGGCTGAGGAGTCGTCGAGGGGAAAACGCAACCGAAAACAGCGACAGGAGGAGCAGCAGCGGGCGGGGCTTTATTTCTAGGGGAGGGTTCTCGGGCAGGTGTGTTTGGGTGTGGTGACCCGCAGCCAGCGGCGGAGAGAGCTAGGGTCGAGGCTGCGGTCGCCTCGGACGGCCCCCCTCCGCG